GCCTGCCACCAGGCCCAGCTAATTTTTGTATTTTTAGTAGAGACAGCGTTTTGCCATGTTGCCTGCTTCAGCCTCCCAAAGTGCTGAGATTACAGGTGTGAGCCACCATGCCCGGCCAATTTTACTGTTGAAATGAATGCTGCTCTGCTTTCATTTCAGAAAGCAGTTGAGGGGCATGGAGGAGGAGACAACCATATGACTGGGAATTCTCACAATTAGCTTCCATGTGGAGCACAATGTTTATTACAGGGTAAGTTTTGAAAAATGCTGATTTGAAGCATACATTTATCTTATTAAAACTTATCAGCCGGGCATCGTGGCTCACGTCTGTAATCCCAGCACTTTGGGAGGCCAGGGCGGGTGGATCACTTGGGGTCAGGAGTTCAAGACCAGACTGGCCAATATGATGAAACCCCATCTCTACTAAAAATACAAAATAGCCGGGCCTGGTGGTGTGCACCTGTAATCCCAACTACTCAGGAGGCTGAGGCAGGAGAATCACTTGAACCCGGGAGGCAGAGGTTGCGGTGAGCTGAGATCGCGACACTGCACTCCAGCCTGGGTGATACAGTGAGACTCAGCCTCAAAAACAAAACAAAAAAAACCTAATGAGTAACCACAGCAATTGTTTATATTAATAACTTAGACCAACAGAAGCTGGTAAAATACTTTCCTGGGGAGAGTATTTCATCAGTGACACTGTTTAGAATTGCCAACATTGGGTGGTGATGAAAAGAATGCAGACCAACTATTAGTCCGTGTTACTATCGTTTTTAAATTCTCTGCAGACACATCCCTGACTGACTGTACCCTGGGCAGAAGCCTCACTGCCTGACCTTGGTCAGCTGCCACCATCTTCGCAGAGGAAAGAGCATGTGCAAAGGGCCTGAGGTGGGAGTATGGAGAGCAAGGAAGGCTGGTGTCTGGGATACAACAAGAAAGGGGAAAGGAAGAGCTCAGGAGAAGGAGGGCATCCTATAAGGCCTTGCGGACCACTCAGGATTTTGGCTTTCACTCTAGGTGATATGCAGGTCTAGCTAATTCCGATTCTCAGAGTCTGATGAATAATTGTCCAATAACGATAATATGATTGGCATGCTCCTCGGTGTCTCTGAGGAGCTGGAGAGCCAGAGGACTCGCCCCTGGGAGATAAGGGTATCACCGATATAAGGGAGGCATTTGCCAGATGAGACAGTGAGAAAATGGCTCCTCCAAGACCCAGGCTCTCTGAAGCGCTATCTGGAAAATCCTCAGCACTACAAGGTGCCCTCCCAGGAAGGATTTTTAGAGGGAAGTGGTCACTTTGTAAATAGCTGGGAAGATTTATCTGCAGAGGAAAACGTAACCAGGTTAATTTCTTCCCATCTCCCCCAACGATGCCCCTCTTCTGGAAATGAGGGTAGGCTTTGAAATGGGAGAAAGGAAGCTTCTCCCAAACTCAAGGCTGCAAATGCCATCCAGCCCAGCATCAGAAAACCTCTGGGGGCTGTCACAGGCTGTCACAGGGAGACAGGCAGGGCAAGCCATATCCTAGGCTGTTGGAAGTAGATGCTCGGTGCCGCAAAGAAAACTTAGCACTGAGACAAGGGATCCTTCAGCAACACAGTTTTTACTCCTGGACTGCAGGAAGGGTACTCTCGCCAGCCGTCTTGCCATGAGAGTACAAAGAACAAAGGAAATACACACAAATTTATTCCTTATGCATTTGGGGTCGTCCTTACTGCTGTGTCTGATCTCTGTTGGCTGAAGCCAGACCTCACAGTCTAAACTAACACCTGATTGACTAATAACTTAAAACTTTTCTAAACAGGTAAAAGCAATGGAGACCTGGGACATGCCTGTGAGCACGTCCAGCACAGATATCTTGGTAAAGTACAAGGACATAGAATGTACTATGTGCCTGTAAGCATGGCATGTCTAACAGCTACACAGAATAGGGCTTAACAAAGAGTTCTTAGCACACTTACGATTTAACAGGAAAGGAAACTTTAAAAAGGAACTTTTCTGCTTCCCACATAGGCCCCACTACTGCTGCATTCTCCCTTCCCAGAGCCACTGACAGTGGCAGAGATGAAGAGGACAGAGTCCCAGCTTCCCAAGGGCACTCCAGCTGCACCAGAAAAGCTCCCCCACTCCAACCCTACCCCGCTGCACTGCTGGACTTCTGACCACACCATAGGGCCCCAGCAGCAAAAGCAGCCAGAGAAAAACAGAGTGCTTCTGGAACTTCTCCAAGCTTTCCGGGGTTCTGTCCTGCAAAAGCCTCACCCAACTGTCTGGAGCACCTGAGTTGCAGACAGCGCAGGGAGGTGAGGAAAAAAGACATTCTTGGAATGGCAAGTAGGGCTCCAGGCCAATTAATATGAACTATTTTTTTTAAGAGACAAGAAGCCAGGGGCAGTGCTCACACCGGTAATCCTAGCATTGTGGGAGGTTGAGGCAGGCAGATTGTCTGACCTCAGGAGTTCAAGACCACCCTGGGCAACATGGTGAAACCCCATCTCTAATAAAATACAACAATTAGCTGCCAGGCGCAGTGGCTCACACCTGTAATCCCAGCACTTTGGGAGGCCGAGGTGGGCAGATCATGAGGTCAGGAGATCAAGACCATCCTGGCTAACACAGTGAAACCCCATCTCTACTAAAAATACAAAAAATTAGCTGAGCATGGTGGCATGTGCTTGTAGTCCCAGCTACTCGGGAGGCTGACACAGGAGAATCTCATGAACCCTGGAGGTGGAGGTTGCAGTAAGCCAAGATCACACCTTTGCATGCCAGTCAGGGTGACAGAACAAGACTTCATCTCAAAAAAAAAAAAAAAAAGAAAAAGAAAAAAAATTTAGCCAGGCATGGTGGCAGGTGCCTGCAAACCCAACTAATAGGGAGGCTGAGGCAGGAGAATCACTTGAACTTGGGAGGGGAGGAGGTTGCAGTGAGCAGAGATGGCGTCACTGCACTCCAGCCTGGGTGACAGAGCAAGACTCTGCCTCAAAAAAAAAAAAAAAAGGCCAGGCTTGGTGGCTCATGCCTGTAATCCCAGCACTCTGGGAGGCCAAGGTGGATGGATCACGAGGTCAAGAAATCGAGACCATCTGGTCAACATGGTGAAACCCCGTCTCTACTAAAAATACAAAAATTAGCTGGGCATGGTGGTGCATGCCTGTAGTCCCAGCTACTCAGGAGGCTGAGGCAGGAGAATTGCCTGAACCCAGGAGGCGGAGGTTGCGTAAGCCAAGATCGCACCACTGCACTCCAGCCTGGCAACAGAGTGAGACTCTGTCTCAGAAACAAACAAACAAAAAGAGACAAGATCTCACCATCTTACCCAGGCTGTTGAACTCCCGAGCTCAAGTGATCCTCCTGCCTCAGTGTAGCTTGGATAACAGGCATGAGCCTCTGTGCCCAGCGTTAATATGAATGTCAAAAAACATGTCCCTTTCTTTGTGTGTGGGGGGAATCCAGGCTATTCCTGTCAGCGTGATGCCATCGGGGTAGCAGACCAGCCTGCTGTCTGTGCGTCAAGGTGGCTGTGCACCGACTTGTTGCCCAGAGCCAGGAAACAATACACCCTAGGGCAACAGGCAGACAGGTGCAATGCCTGACCCCTGAGGCTCCCTAAATCAAGAACTGTCGCAGGCCTTCAGGGCTTGAGGGAATGATGTCTCTTTCTCTTGGTCCTGAAGATGTCCCTTACTTCCTTTGAAGCTGAATGATACATCTACATTTTGTATGATATTTTGTATCTGGAGTGGAGGGACTCCTCTTCCCCTCTGTCTTGGCAACCCAAGGGAGGCTGCAGACAGCCTCCCTTGGGTAGCTAGCCTCCAAGGTGGCCCCAATGACTCAGATTTCCTAGTGTTCACGCTCCTGTGTCATCCCACCTCACACTGAAGAGGGTCAGTCTGTGTAACCAGTGGGATGCAGAAGGGTCCACCCAGTGAGGACAAGGGCCTTCTACCAGTAGCAGCCTGACTGTGCCCTCATGGGCATGGCTTCTCCAGCCCCATCAAGTCTGCAGATGGCTGCAGCCCCTAGAGTCCCCAGTGACATTTTTTTTGAGGCTGAGTATCACTATATTGCCCAGGCTGGAGTGCAGTGGTGTGATCTCAGCTCACTGCAACCTCTGTCTTCCGGGTTCATGTGATTCTCCTGCCTCAGCCCCCCGAGTAGCTGGGATTACAGGCATGTGCCACCACACCTGGCTAATTTTTTGTATTTTTAGTGGAGACAGGGTTTCACCATGTTGGCCAGGCTGGTCTCAAACTCCTGACCTCAAGTAATCTACCTGCCTCGGCCTCCCAAAGTGCTGGGATTACAGGTATGAGCCACCGCATCCAACCTCCAAGTGACATCTTACCTCACCTTTCACGAGAGCTGCTGAATTGGATCCACCACCCAGCTAGGCCACTCCCCAATTCCCTGCCTGCAGAAACTACGTGAAATAATAAATGCCTATTTTTATTTTAAGTAATTTCTTACTTAACACTCCTCCTCTCCAATTAAGTATACTTCAGGAAGGCACCTCTCACGTTCTTCCAGACCCCCCTGTCTTGGGCACTCTGGGTGTGAGATTCCATGCAGGATCCCCTCTCCCTACAGATGGTCCTGGGCGTGGGCTTCAAGCCCGCGGGAGTTCAGGTCCCTTGCAGACAATGAGAGGTCTTATCTCCTGGCCCGACTCTAAGCCAAGAGATATCCGTGGGACCAGGAAGTGAGCAGGGGGAGTTTAACAGCAGATTTCCCATCTGCACTCTGCCCTAATCAGAATGACTTCCTGCCAGACCACGCATTTTCAGATGTGTTGGTGACACCCTTCCTAATGTCCAGTGATGAAGACTAATTGTTCCTATTACTTTGGTTTGACTATTTCAGTAGGAGCTCAGAAAAGGCTATGCCTCAGAAGCACAGGTGTGGAGAGCCATTTTAGAATGGAAACCACTGAAACTCTCAGTTCATTATTACACCTATTAGAAAATTCACTCTGGGCAGTGCATGGCAGGGCTGGAAGATATAAATGCCTGGAGACAGGGGGCCCTGAGATGGGCTGTTGTTGTCTGACAGAGCGGTGACCACTTCATTATCATTTCCAAGGTAAGTCATTTCGTTAGCTGACTACTACTTCTTTTTTTTTTTTTTTTTTTTTTTTTCCCTGAAAGGGAGTCTAGCTCTGTTGTCCAAGCTGGAGTGCAGTGGCACAATCTCAGCTAACTGTAACCTCCGACTGGCAGGTTCAAGCGATTCTCCTACCTTAGCCTCGCAGGTAGCTGGGATTACATGTGCATGCCATGCTCAGCTAATTTTTGTATTTTTAGTAGAGATAGGGTTTTACCATGTTGGCCAGGCTGGTCTTGAACTCCTGGCCTCAAGTGAGCCTTCTGCCTTGCTTCCCAAAGTGCTGTGATTACAGGCATGAGCCAGTGCACCCAGTCTTTATTTCTTACAGATACAGGTCTCGCTTTATCACCCAGATTGGACTGCAGTGGCAGTGATCATAGCTCACCACGGCTTTCAATTCCTGGGCTCAAGCAAGCCTCCCAGCTCGGCCTCCTAAGTAGCTAGGACTACAGGCACACACCACCACACCAGCTTTTTTTCCTCTTTTTTGGAGAGAGAGGGTCATGCCTTGTTGCCTAGGCTAGTGTCAAACTCCTGGCTTCCAGTGGTCCTCCCACCTTGGCCTCCCACAGTGTTGGTAGTACAGGCAAGAGCCACTGCGCCCAGCCTGCTTTAAATATATTTTCTTCCAGTTCTCAGAGCAGCACAATAAGTTAATATAATGCCTGAGAAATGTTCGTCATGATTGCTCATCAGCACTGAATGGATACAAACTGTGATACTTCCATACGGTGGAATACTACTCAGCAGTAAAAAGGAATGAGCTATCCAAACATGTTACAATATGGATGAATCAAAATAATGATGCTGAGGGAAAGATGCCAGGCAAAGCAGAATACATACTCTATGAAAATGCAAAATATTCTGTAGAAACAGGAAGTAGATCAGTGCTGCCTGGGGAGAGAGGAGAGTGGGAGGGAAGGATTATCCTCTCGGGGAGCCACGTGGTGGAATTCTCCCCAGTGGCGTGTAAGTAAAAGTGATGTATATTCATTTATGGGTACAGCTCACAGCAATGTCCATGCAACCCTCACTCTTATCACCCTTCCCAGCCTCCAGATGAATGAAGAGAACTTTGGGAGCTGAGGAGAAGACAGAGCCACAAGATCAAAGGAGACTGGATCCCTGAATGACTGCAAAGTCCCCTTCAACAGACATTGGCCTGCGACATGAGTAAGACAAGATCTAAGGTGTTAAAATTCATGCTGTGTGAGGTCGGTTTGTTACAGCAGGTAACCAGCCCTAATACATAATCCAAAATATTGATTAGATCTCAAAGTTATTAAAACTACATTGTCATGAAGCATTTTGTAGCTGGGACTACAGGATTACTCCACCACACCCAGCTTATTTTATTTTATTTTATTTTTATTTATTTTGAGACAGAGTTTCACTCTTGTTGCCTGGACTGGAGTGCAATGGTTCACCTCAACCTCTGCCTCCAGGGTTCAAGTGATTCTCCTGCCTCAGCCTCCTGAGTAGCTGGAATTACAGGCATGCAACAGCACACCCAGCTAATTTTGTGTCTTTAGTAGAGATGGGGTTTGTTCATGTTGGTCAGGCTGGTCTTGAACTCCCGGCCTCAGGTGATCCACCCACCTAGGCCTCCCAAAGGGCCGGGATTACAGGCGTGAGCCACTGCACCCGGCTTTATTTTATTTGAGACAGTGTCTCCCTCTGTCACCCTGCCTGGAGTGAAGTGGTGCAGTCTTGGCTCTCTGCAACCTCTGCCTCCGAGGCTCAAGCAATCCTCCCATCTCAGCCTCCCAAGTAGCTGGGACTACAGGCGAGCGCCACCACACCTGGCTGTTGTTCTTCCTCCACCTCCTCCTTCTCCACCTCCTCCTCCACTTGCACCTCCTCCTCCACCTCCTCTTCCACCTCTTCATCCTCCACTTCCTCCTCCTCCACCTCCTCATTCTCCACCTCCACCTCCCCCTCCTCCACCTCCACCTCCTCCTCCTCCACCCCCTCCTCGTTACTCCTCCTCCT